ACTAAAGGAACCAGCCTGTTTGGGAAATGAGAGAAGTAGAAAGTACAGGTATTTGAGTTCAACATGTAAGAAGTAGAAAGTACAGGTATTTGTGTTCAACATGTAAGAAGTAGAAAGTACAGGTATTTGTGATCAACATGTAAGAAGTAGAAAGTACAGGTATTTGGGTTCAACATGTAAGAAGTAGAAAGTACAGGTATTTGTGTTCAACATGTAAGAAGTAGAAAGTACAGAAGTAGAAAGTACAGGTATTTGAGTTCAACATGTAAGAAGTAGAAAGTACAGGTATTTGGGTTCAACATGTAAGAAGTAGAAAGTACAGGTATTTGAGTTCAACATGTAAGAAGTAGAAAGTACAGGTATTTGAGTTCAACATGTAAGAAGTAGAAAGTACAGGTATTTGTGTTCAACATGTAAGAAGTAGAAAGTACAGGTATTTGAGTTCAACATGTAAGAAGTAGAAAGTACAGGTATTTGGGTTCAAAAGGAGTTAAAATAAAAAGTTGTCAGAAAAATAAGTAGTGGAGTAAAGTACTGACACCAGAAAAATGTACTTAAGTACAGCAACAAAGTATTTGTACTCCAGTACTTCCCACCTCTGTTGGGGGAGCATGTGTTCTTCCTTGCTTGCCGGCTTTCATTAATGATCCCATCTTTCAATTACAGGGAGGGAAGATCCCCATCCGCTGGACGGCCCCCGAGGCCATCGCTTACAGGAAGTTCACCTCGGCCAGCGACGTGTGGAGCTACGGCGTCGTCATGTGGGAGGTGATGTCATACGGCGAGCGACCGTACTGGGACATGAGCAACCAAGACGTAAGTCCTGAGGAAATGTAATTAAACACGGGGACAAACATAAATAATATACAGCGGGAATTAGGTTTGATTTCGCAGCTTGAGTAATAATTCCCAGTTGCATGTGTGCTGTCAAACGTTTTTTCAAAAGATAATTCATCATATTAAGTCGTAATCAAATTAGCTCCAGGGGTGATAAAACTGCATCAATATATTCCCTTTTCTCATTAAACATTGCATCTATCGGCGCTAATGATGATAAATAATTGTATTTATGCATTTCCAAATGTCTTGCGTAGTTGCCTGAAGTAATGTGGATACAAATTATGTGGGTATAACGTTAGGAGAGGGTGTTATCAAACTTTTCAAAACTTTTAATTTCCGCGCAAACAAAGCCACTTACAGTGCCATTGATCTCGTGTTTAGGTGATCAAGGCGATCGATGAGGGCTACCGGCTGCCCCCCCCCATGGACTGCCCCGTGGCCCTGCACCAACTCATGCTGGACTGCTGGCAGCGAGAGAGGGCCGACCGGCCGAAGTTCGGACAGATCGTCAACATGCTGGACAAACTGATCCGAAACCCCAACACTCTGAAGAGGACCGGAGGGGAGACGGCTGTCAGGTGAGGAGGCACCAACATCAAAGAAAAATAGTAATATTAAAGGGGTGTTTCCCTTTCCTGTGATGTGTTATATAGATTTGTGTGCATGTAAATGGTCTGCAAAGGCTTGAATCTCAAAGTTTCTATTGAACTGTCACTATGTAACACTCGCGCTTCAATTGGCTAGCGCTCCAACACATTGTACGTGATAGACTAAGGGGGCGGGACATATCTAAGCGGTTGACCAATCACAATAGAGGCGGCTTGGTTTCACATATTCTTTGCAACTGTGGTTATGAATTTGGCTCGACTAAAATACCGCACACACACGCACAACGCTTCCAAACTAGAAATACGTTTTATAGCCCTATCATCGAGTGCTGCAGCTGTCTTTTAAAAACAAAGAACAGTTCAAAGTTAGCAGCTAAAACCCGCACATTGGCTGTGTTTAATGTGCATAAACACACCTATGCAACCTATTTACTGCACAATGTATTAAGTACGTGACATTCTACCCCTCACACACACACACACACACACACACACACACACACACACACACACACACACACACACACACACACACACACACACACTCCATTTCTCTCGTTGGTGTTTAGTATTTGAGT